AAATGCGTTTTCCAGCTATTTATAAGTTTGATAAAGGAATTAGGCTTCTAAAGATGGATCCTTGATATTGATATCTATTAAGATACTCCAAAATCCGAAAACTGATATTTTTTCAAAATATTTACTGATCTGACCAGTGGATCCCCTTAACTAATGCAGCAACATCAGTTCAGAGAGCAATATATAACTTTATAAGAAAAGGATGAGGGAAAGAGGGAGAATCCACTCTGTCGCTTCAGGTCCCTTCCCATTAAATTCGCCTCCCTTTTCCTCACATTTTTTTTAGTTGGTGAAAGGGGGTGAAGAAAGGTCGATCCACTGTGCTTGCACCTTTAAAGACACTATCTGTATTGTATTCTAAAACCAAGTCTTTTTCCTTCTACTTTATCTTTGTAAATTTTATATAAAATACTGCTATAGTAGTATAGTAATAGTATACCGGTAGCGCAATCACTGATCAGACAAACATGCAAGTCGGTTAAAGTTAAAGCGGAATATTGCTGCTGCTGTGCACAGCGCATAGGCCAATTATGGTTTCCACTGTACATATATCTAAAAAAAAAGATCAAAACGCAGGCATTACCTTTCATTATTGTCAAAGTGGGGTTCACGATAATGTCCAAAATAACTGCAACATGAAAGGCTTTGGTTAACCAGTTGACTACATGTACCTTGATTTAGAAAAAAAAAATTGAGGAAAGACACCCGGGAGAAAACAATCTTCTGCGACCGACTAACCACTACACCAGAGATGCCGGTATTTTGAGCTGAACAGTTACCAGTGGGGGTGCATGATATTGATATGCTGTTGTGTTAAAGTTAAAGCTGTCCTCACCGCAAGCATACAAGACAACAGCGCCCATGTAACAATATATAAATGGACAAAAATTTATCACTGCACTTTGCAAGATAGTATGAGGTTCCACACCAGAATTCTCACTCAAAATCACCCAAATGTGACTGCTGTTTTTCCGCTGTGTATGCCCTGATTTTTGTTTTTTTCCAAGCAATTCAGAGCCCTCAATATTCTCCCACTAGTCATAGTCATACTAACACTTGACTTCAGTGTTTGAAGTGATAGATGGCACCATTACCTTGCGCTGCACTTGTTATGTCTTCTGTTCAGTTTTCATTCTTAATATTATAATATTCTTATTAAATCAATGACAATCTGTCAAACAACAAGGGACTAGAAAAAAGAAGCAGGACCTCCTTTACTTTACTCAGCGTAGGACCCACCTTCATATTTTGTAATCAAGAAAATGGTCACCTTTCACCATGCAATGGAGAGGGAGCATCAAACTGAAATAAGCTACATGCATCCAGTTCTACTTCCTTACGTTTTTGTTGTCCATTAGGTATCAACAAAATCAATGGTAAGTAAAATGCCAAAGCAATGTGTTTCTTTCACACACAATAAGCCTTACTTTTTACCAAAAAAACATGAACTGAACTGGCCTCTTGTCTTCATTAGCCTCAAAAGACTCGGGAGTCAGAATGAGAGACTATTTTCCAGAGGAGAAAATCATCCAACAGAAATTTTTAACCAAGGACAATTTTTGGCTTGTACATTACTTTAGTTGTATACCTGGTGTTCTTTCCCTACTCCCGAGTACCGGTACTCCACTCCTCTGCAAGAACTCCGTTTCATCTTGCCATGCATTTGCATCATGATCACCATGTAAAACGAACTGCAGGATAGGTAAAATTTAACCAACGTAGATAGACCTCAGTATTATTAGTCATTACACCCCCCCAGGGCAGTGCTACGGACTGAAGTGTCTTTAGGCTTCAAGCCATTCCCAAAGGGGGGACATTACCATGTTCTGTTGCACAGTAAAATAGTAAAAAGTAAATGGGCTGATTCAACGATGTCATGCTCATTACTGTGCTGGAATTGCAACAGAGAACTGCTGCTTTTTCTTTCCTCATCCTTACTAATACTATCGTCAGTTTTCCTCTACATATTCGTACGTTAGTCACCTCTTGTGACCCGCTCTTTCTGAGGTGCCTTGATAGTCGAAGCAGACTTTGTCACTTTGTGCTGTTGAAGCTAGAGAGGTGAGCAGAACAAGCCTGATTCCCTGAAAAGACTTCTCTCTTGTCATCCACCCCTTGAGTTCATATGACGGCAGTTGCGAGAGCTGTAAAACCTATACTAAAACTAAAACCTCAGTATGATGGTGGATTTATCAACACTCAGAAGCTATTTTCGTCTTAGTTTAATTGCTGTGAACCCAATGGTCTTGGAGATGAACTGCTCAAAATGAATGAAAAACACTGCATGTACTTGTCTCTATCAAACTGACTTTTAGTGAAATGGCCCACCGGCATATATGTGGTGTAATGGTTAGGATATACCACAGCAAGAGGACCTGAAACCTGTGTGGATAGAACTCTGCATCCCATTACCTCAAATCTACACCGTGTTGACAGAGGCACAAATAAACTTCTGAAATCAGAGAAGACTACAACTACATGTATTGTGACACCCTCCAGTCATCAATTGTTTTGTTTTTTAAAATATTAATGCAGTTTTGAATCATATTGTGTATAGGTCAATCTTTTTCATTGACTAAATTAGCAACTGAGAGGTATACATTTCTAAAGTATGGTTTAGGTCTTGGTAAAACTAAAACAAGAAACTGACATGAGCTATGTAGGGAGCAAGAACTACACGAGTTAAGAATTAGAACTTTTCCATCCTATTACACTCTTTCCAGTACAACTCTACATGGTCTTTACCATGCCCCTGCATTTTCCTTCAGTACCGTTTTATAGAGAAAGCAGTGTAAAATAAGAAAGACCTTGAATAGGTCAATATTCAACATTCTGAAGGTACCAGAACCTGCTTCCATTGACTGTCTCAAAGCTGTGCAAACATATACCCCTCAGCAACAATTCTACCATGAAAACCAAAGTGTCATTAGTGCCATTATACCATATGCGAAAATTACAACAGAAAAATTTCATTGAAATTGGCAATGAGATACAACATTTCAATCTTAATTTTATTCTCCACATATTTTATCAGTAAAAAGGGTAAAAATTCAGTGCAATTTGTAATTTAATCATAGTTATTTTCTTAATTTTGGCACTTTGCAAGACAATTTAGCTTTCAATAGCAGAACGGAACTCCCATAGCACTTTTATTGTTGGACAAAACTATCTTAACAGGTATTAGTGCTAAAATAATTCACAACAGCAACAGCAAATTTTAAAAAGGTGAAATTAATTCCAAGTTTTTGTACATAAAATGCAATTTTATTGCATGAACACATGACAATGGCGAGATGAAGCGAGATGAGGATGGCGTTGTGATGATATATGAAGATGCATGTATGAAAATAACAAATCGGTTAGTGGAATGCTAAACAATCTGTGCCAACTCCTCCGTGGCAACTGAAGGGTCCAGATTAAACACCAAGTTTCATTAGTCCTACTTCATTTTCGGATCAATTCCACTAACCTTGAATATTTGCCATTATTTGAATTTCAAGCAAATTTTTAATGAACTTGTCATTTCACTACATGACAATTTACACAAATTCCAGTACGAAACACCAAACAATAAAACAGTAAAATACTGATACACTTCTTAAAACTATTTTTCGGCATTCTGGATTAAAAAAGATTCACAAGATGAAAAAAGATTTCCAGAGTAATTTTCGTACTATCCCTACAACGTGGATGACAATGTTGAACCCACGCCAGGCCTCTACCTGTTCACTTTAATAGCGAACATTACGGCAGAGGCGGCCGTGGGCGTACTCTGTTGGATGCAGATGCGGCATGCATTGCAGGATCCAATCTTTTTGGTCCTGGTTTTGTGCATAAGCTGCCGTAGAACGGAACCCTTGAGCCCGAGACCACACGGTGCGGAATCTGGGCATTATCCATTCATGCCTGGTGCTTATAAAGCCTGAGGTTATGATGAGATAATTATATATAGGAGACCGAATAAAGTTTTTTAATTCAGACTTTGCCGAAAAAGAAAAATCTTTGGGGGGATATGCTTATAAAGATCAAAAAAATTATATATACACGAGACGTAGGCCAGGAGAAGATGAATGTACAAATATATTGAACAACTACTGGTGCCCAGCATTAATTTTCGAAGCCTTTTTAACTGGGCCAAAGACAGATGCCAGTGACCCCCCTTTGTTTCACATGACCTCATACTTCACGTGGGTCGTTAATTTACCAGGCTGCAATTTCAGCCCAATATTAACCATCTTTTGTAACAATTATTTTACACATATGGGCAGGGACTGAATTTTATCACAAGATTTTGGTAGTAGTGAGTTTCATTTCCACTGCTGCCCATACGAATCTTGGTACCACTCTTGACCATCATTCCCATCATAGCTAATGGCTCCATACATATCCTGCTTCATTTCTTGCTTCAAGGGCTGCTGCGCAATAGGCTGTGAGCCCCAACTGTCCGTATTCCGTCGCTTCGAAGTCCCAGACGTGAAGTCTGTTCCTGCTTTCCGTTTTCCTCCCCTGGCCGCGACTGGTGAAGAGCCTGCCGACGGGCTGTTTCCGTTGCTAGCCCCACGTCCCCCGCGTGAGGCTCCCCGGGCAGGTCCAGCGCCACGACCTCTACCGGCCGCCCCGCGTGTTGCCGGACCTCCTATTGCGTGGCCACGAAGGCCCCCACCACCTCGCATAGGCGGCTACCATGAAACAAAAAAAGATCATTTTGAGACATTTTTTGCCCTCATTTTTTGCCTGTAACTGGGATAATTACATTGAGTGAGGAGGGGAAGTTGGCAATTGTAAACATGTGTTATTCCAAAATTTTTGATCTCTTCAGAACATTTCTCTTTTTTTTTTCAAAACAAATCCGAAATATATAGACAATGAAACATTTATTCAGCCATCTTTCATGACAATCATTGAACACATTTACAATGCCCCAACACCCCCCCCTCACATTGGGAGCAAGCTGCAATGCAACTTGCTCCCGAGTAGACCAAGCAGAGCTCTCAGGCACAAACTATGTACTACAAACTACACTAAATATATCAATAAAAAAAATTCTACAAGAGTCACTTCAAATAATTGGGTTTTCTTTTACTACTTTAAATAAAAAATGGAACTGCAGAAAACGGCTATAAAATGTCCGTGCACAAAGCAGGTTGGACTGTGACAACAGACCCTACAAGTTTGATCGTTACTACCTCATTATCACAAAAGGGAGAAAAGGGGCTAGAGCTAGCCTACAGACACAGACACGAGGTCAAATTTAACACAAATATGGTAAAAATTCTGAAAGTTCTGAACAATAATCAGTAATACATTGCATACTTTTCATTTCCCCCCCAAAAGTTACTCTACGAACACAGCCTGTCAAGATGGTGGGCATTGAACAAGCAACCTCCCTCAAAACACTTCATACACTTTTCTGCATGCAATAGATTCTAACTATTAGAATCAAAACTGCAACAATGTCAGAACTCAAAATGTTTCGTAAAAATCTCTCAATTGACTTCTGGGTTTCGTTTTCATTATTAATCGCAGATCTCGTTTTGAAAGTTCATAATTTTTCTTCCGCATCAGCAAGTCTGTGGGGGTGCAACACTACAAAACAAAGTATATGTATTTTCGAACAAAAATACACTAAATGTTTTACGTACTAGTTGGCAGCTATGGAAATACAACAAAAAGCTGAAAATCCATCTTCATAAAAGACCGCATTAACTGCTTCACTGCTGCTCGGCGTACATTCATAAATCAGGCCCTCCTCTGCACTGTAGACAGTGTACGCCTGCCAATATTTTGTTTCCTTTCCTAACCCAGCAGGTAACTGCAATTTAGTATCGAGAGTGGGCTCCCCTGAAAGCTTTTACTCCTGACTTAGAGAAGCTTTAATTTGCCCTAATTAGACCAACAATGACAGAAACAGCGTGAATTATAGCGCCACCCCCCCATTTTCCCACTTCTAACGTTTCACTCTTGCTCCTATGGCTGATCGCTCATGATGTATGCTCACAATGTATCAAGCTATCAACGAAATTTTTGCTGATGATGATTGCCGTTCATTTTCCCTTAAAATGAAATAAACATTTAACTCATTTGAGACTGGGCCTTTTCCAGGTCCACATTTGCTGAAGACTGGCGTTGTTGGGGGTATTTCAATATTTCAAACATCTTTCCCAAAGACTTACAACCACCATTTTACACAAATAACAGATTTAAACATGCCCAATATGACACCCCCAAAAAAATTAATCTTGTATGTTTTTTATTGTGTTTGTGTCTCAAAATGAACAAAACGTCCAAACTCATGAATAGGCAGGTAATCGATAAGGTCATCCTAAACAAAATTAAAGATAAGATTATTTCTTATTTGCTTTTCATATTGTGCTTGATTTTGAGCTCTGCTTGGTGAGTTAAACGGTGTGTACTTACAGGGGGCATGCCTCTTCCTCCACGTCCACCACGCATGGGGGGGAATGGTGGCATTCCGTAGTAGTCATAGTCATCGTACCCATAGTATTCATCATAGAAGGGTTCTGAAAGTGGCAAATGAAAACATCTCGTAACTCGGCTCTTAGCGCAAACGCATATATCTTAACCAGCAGAGATCCACCACAGATAACTAATATTGACATAAACATCCTTAAAGTGAAGGCTTTGAAAAAGTCCAGTGACAATAAAAATCCAAAATATATAGGCCTACCAGTACACCTTATGAATAAGTGACCGATGACACATACATAGGTTTTTCAGTCACAAGACTCAACACCAGTGTATATACTTCACCACACGAAATGCTATTATTATTCAAACACACCATACAAGATGGCAACTTAACGAAAACAGGATCAGTGCCAGTCCAAACAACATCCCCTTACCTCCCACAATACTTTTTAACCCTAACTCTGGCAAGGGCCGATTAGATCGGCCCATTTCCTGCCATGAAACTGGCAGGGCCGATCTCATGGGACCATAGTTAGGTTAGTTCAGGAGAATGCCCCACATGTTCTACGAAGGGAGCAGTAACAACATTTCAACGATAAAAAATTTTAAGCTAGATAAAACCATGAAACTATGAATGTAAAAAACATAAAATCATACCCCTTTGCATGAGGGTAACAAACTTTGTGGAACATGAAAGAATTAAATAAACTTCAACAACAAATATTTCTGTGCCATTTGCCATTTCAAAATTTTCTGGCCCATGTCCACTCCCCCAATAAAAAAAATTGCTAAACGAAGAGGTTTAGGGTTTTTTTTGGGGGGGGAAATGTCTTATGGCGCTCAAAACTGCATAAAGTCATATGAGCGCGTTTTTTAATTTTTCTCGGGTGGCGGCCGAAGCATACTCTTATCGATTTTGGATCACCAAGGGACCTTTAACTAGCAATGACAATGAAAAATTAAATTTTCATCCAAATTGCTTAAAAATGGGCTTACATGAAAATAGAGTAAATTCTAAGAACTATGGTTTTTAAATTCTAAAAATCCATTGACAAATAAAAAAGTTATTGCATAGCTGCCAAGTTTTCAAAATTAAAAAAAAACAACAGATTTTCATCGTGCAGTCGGTGAAAGAGACCAGTTCTTACTTTAAAAAATACCAAAAGACAACTTGTACTCAAATAATAAGCATACACCAGACACATGCATGCTGTGCAGCCAGATTGAAAAGATGGCAGGGGCATCCAATGGCAAAGATGTCTGGCTGGGATTTCCTAAGCTTTGTTATAACTCCATTGTTTTGTCCTATCATCACTGAAGCATTGTCTGAACTCAGAGAGATGCAGTGCATAAAGGGAACACCTAAGGTGTCTAATTCTGTCGATACAAGTTATATGTTAACACCACTTGACGGACCATTGTCATTGAGGACGTCGGCACACCTTGTTTGTAGAAAGCATGTTTGTTTGATAATTTCGATGCAGTGATGAAGTTGAATTCCTCTGAATACTTGGCACAGAAGGTGTGTTCGCGAGGTTTTGCCTTAGAACTGGTTGGTTTTAAAAACGCACCCATCACTTGAAAGACAACGCGCGTCCGTGATCAAAAAAAGAGATTTAGCTCCTGCATGCAATCATTAAGGCTGCCCGCAACACACACACGATGACCCGTGACCCGATGTGGATGAATGAGAAACAAAGAAGGCCGGTAGGCAGACCTGCCACTCTAAGAAATCTAAAAATCCGGATTTTAGAGTAAAAAAATCCGGATCTAGTCTAGATCTGGTGAAAAAAATCCGGATCAACGGCAAATTAGTCATAAGGGGCACTGGGGAAAAGGGGGCGGGGGTGGTCCCGGTTCTTTATGAGGCGAGTATGCAAGACAAAGCTATTTGAAAACTGAAAGCGCATTATTATATGTTACTCGAATCGGAGTTTGATAGACTGGGGGAGCGCAGGTAGCACTAAAGCTGAAACTCTCGTAGTCTTGAAAATAGCTGACACATAACTCCTATCATCCAGGAAAAAAGTCCGCTTTTTCATACAGCAACGTTTGACTTCCATCGCATATACACCCAAGGTCCCCCCCCCCCCCGGGAAAAAAGATCGCGCCAAGGTTGTTCATCAATTTTTTTCTTATTCCTTTCCCCTCAATTAGTCTGGATCACGGCACGCACTTTAAGCCCAAGTGTCAAACCCCCCCCCCCCCCCCCCCCGGGGGGGGTTTTAGGGGGGAAATCAATTTTTTTTTCTTAATTCCTTTCCGATTTTTATAAAAAAAAAACGAGGGGGATCAAACACAAAGATCAACCCCCCCCCCCCCCCCCCTCCGGAGCGTATTTAAGTGGGAATTCAAAATTGATACTACTACTACGTCGATTTTAGTAGAAATAACGAGCGTGAGTCAACTACTAGATTCGGCATAGATCTAGATGCTTTAGAAAATAGCGTTCCAAGTTCCAGCCGATAAGAAGTCCAATCGGTGCTTCCAAGCAAAAGAGATTGCAGAACTTTTTATATTTTTTTCTAAGAATCGGACGCAACAGACGCAAAGACCTTTAAAAATAAGGATACTGGCGATCGAAATTGGGAAAATCGGGATGCTTGAGATTTGGGGCAGAAACAAAATTAAATCGGGATGAGTGGCAGGTCTGCGTAGGTTACTTCCCGCTTTAATAGTGCATGCTCAATAACATTAATAACAAAGAAATACAGAAGGGGCACAACTCGTGAAAAGGAGGTCGACTTCCAGTTTAATTGCAGGGACACTACTCTCGTCGTCTTGCACTCCCGTACTTCGCCTATTCGGTCATAAATTTTCTAATTTTTCTTGCTTGAAGTCAGTTTGTATTGAAACTAAAAGGGGAAAAAGTTGAAAACGTACTTTCCGATGCCAAAACGGATTTCCGTACTCAAACTCAAACCCCAAAATCGTACTAAATACGTTTTTTACGTACTACTTGGCAGCTATGTTATTGGGATGTTTGTTTGCAAAATGTTGGAGGACCTTCATATACGGAAAAATCGCCAAAATGTGGGACATGTTTTGATGTATTTTGAGGAAAAACTTCACAAGTCAGTAATGAATTGGAGCATATGAATGACACTTGGCATCTTCATGTGATTTTTAGTGCAGAATCTAGTTCTGCTATCACTTTTCGATGTCTTTACTACTTTGGATCTTAAAGAGTGATATTTGAGTGAAATTTGTTGAATTGCGTGACATCGATTTTACCGCGACGCGATCACCCCTTCTAACACTCAGTAAAGCGCTATCGGGAAAACCCGTGATGTAGTCATCGGTGACCTATTAAGTTATAGGCAGCCAATCACATGCCGCCCAGCGATCACGCTCCTCTTGCGTGCCGGCACCTCGCGTTCGTAATGCGTGATGTAGTTTCCAGCTCTAGTGTTTTATCAATGGATGGGTGGTAATTTTAAGTTAGTACGTAAAATCTACTAAACGCAGAGATCTGAAATTTTACAGCAATAAAGAAGACGTGGGGCGCTTGTGCGGTCGGCGATCAACCCGCAGCTCCGCTTAGTTTTCGAACCGCAGGTAAACTAAGCATGTTTTTTATTCCCAATAAAAATCCATGCTGTGCTTGTGGCTACATTTTTGTACAGAAAAAGAACCAGATAAGCAAAACGTACATGTAATTTTTTATATGCACCCGTGAGTAGTGAATTTAAATTTTGCAAACTTCCGTGACCTCCACGGTACAGCAAAAAGTACACATGTGTGCCTCACAGCAGGCATGTCAGAAGGCAACGAAGGGGTTAATCAATTTACCTCTCTGACTGATAGACAAATGCCTAATAATAAGGTCATGTGTTTGCCATAATCAGAGCTGTTCAAGTTGTACCTGCACAACAAATGAGCAAAGTACTTTATTATTATTTTCATAACGTGGTGCAACTCAATTCTTAACCAATTCATCAAAGCAAGGTACCTGGATAAGGAGGTCGTCTCAGTCCAGATCTTTGGGCACCACCACGTGCTGGTGGCCAGTAGTCATCAAAACCGTAGTAGGCCGCCCTCATCAAGCGGCGCTCCTGATCACGTTTCCTCTGCTCCTTTTTCTTATTCTCAGAAGGCGGTTTTGCAAGCGAGATGTTGATATCTAAACTGCCAACCTTCTGTCCATTCAGACCCTCCATGGCCTTCAGGGCATCATCTCGCTCTTCAAAATGGACAAATCCATAATCCTTGATCTTCTTCACCCTCTCCACCTTGCCAAATTCACCAAACTTTTCTTTCAGCATGTCTTCAGTGACATCAGATGTCAGGTTTCTGACATACAGGACTTTCACCTGAATGAATAAATAATGAAATAATATTTAAAATAAATCATTTTACTCGGAAGTATGTTACGCTGATCTAAAAAAGAATCAAAACGATAAGGTACCTTATTTCAACCATGCTCTTCTGTCAAAACTTGACTATAGCAATTCTGTTCCGTCTGGTATCTCATGTGAGAGAATGAGAAAATTGCAAGTGGCCCAAAATAACAGCTAGACAAGTACTGAAGAAAAAATCCTGCATCTAAACACTTACAGTAGTACCGAAGGCTCATACAATGAAAAAAAAAAAACAAGTACCGCACCAGTTTAGAATGCTGAAGCCCTGGTAGAATTTTTTTTTTAATTAAAAAAATCCTTGGCAGCCAAAGAAATGCGCTTTAAAAATTTAGAGAGGTCCATGAACCATCAGTTATCGAATAAAGCGACTTCCTATGGTCTTTACTTCATGAGGTGTGTCTATTCGTTGTTTAATTTGTTTAGTATGCTTGGTTGCGTCATCAACTAAGTCACCTGCGGTTGTTTGCGCATACTACAGCCTGACGACTAAAGACACCGGTGGTAATGTAAGTGTTAAAGCTTGGCACTTGCTTCTAGTTGATAAAAAAATTCCATTAAGTTTTTACCATCTGTTGTAAATGTCTTAATATAATACTTTTATCTGTCGTTGAGCTTTTTTAACACAGCAAGTTCCATCCCATCAGTTATGGACATTCAGACGCAACAAGTTCTGAGCCCCTAGAATGAAATAAGGATATTTTCGTTGGAAAAGTTTCTCATTTTTTGGCTCTAAAATCAGGAACTTCATGGCCCAGAACCTCAAGAGAAATAACAATTCTAACATGTTTAAGAGGGCTTTACAAGTATAAACCTCATTTTCTTATCTACAAATACTTTACAATCTGTTAATATGGGTCGAAATATTCAGAACCAACTATTAAGTGTGTTCAGACTCGCTCGTAACCATGGAAACATCCACCATTTTGTTTTGTAAACAAAAAATGGATATATTTTTCATTCCTCCACCATTTTTTCTTCTTCTTATTTTTAAGGGCATTTTTTTTACTTGCTGTGTTTTCTTTGGATATAGTTACCAGTAGCTGGCTATTCCATCCATTTTATGTAGCTTTCAGAGCCACGCGTTCAAATGACCTTATGTAGTTGACAGAGCCGTAATACCCTTACTAAACTACAAGTTGTATGACCATAAGTTGCATGGGTTGCTGTGAAAGGAAGTAGTTGGCATGATCTAGCAATGAATCTACCCCGTGTATGCACATTCAGTATGGAATCTTTAGTCCCCTCCACGATCAAGTAAACTAAAGACCAAAATGAAACTTTCTGGATACTAACTGGGAAGGCGGATACATAAGTCACAAAGGACTTTTTAAGTTGCCATACCTTCGACATAGTCTCATCATCGGGCTCTTCCATTGGATCCGCCCAATCGACGATGACATCACACTGCCAGAACTTTGGATGTCCGGCCTGCAGCTTCCTCTTCGCATTAGAGGCTTGCTTATGGGTCTCATACTCCAGGAATGCAAAACCTCTATTTTTCTGCTTTGGATTGTCAGCAGAGCCATACACAATAACCTCTACCAATCCATCTGAAAACAAACAATGTTTTAGATTAAAGCCCATAAACGTTAAATACGGTATTCCCATTAACTCAATCCTGACTAGATTAGCTAATCCAGTCTTTAAAAAAAGCCTGTAGCTTCTTTCACAACAAATCATAATCCGGATTTTCGCTTACCAAAATATAAAGGAAATCTCTTTAAATTAACATCATTTGGACTTTCAATTCTGTGAAATGTTTCATTTTCTTGTATCATTTTCAGTTTCCATCAATCTTTTCGAGAGAAAACAATGGGGAAACAGTTTTTAAAACATGGCATTAGGTACATAAGAAAAATATCCTAATTTTATTAACTCATTGACGACGCAAGTTTTTCACTAAAAATTTCCAATGAGACGCACGATTCTAACCTATTTTTAAAAAATCAGTGTGATAAACCGAGCAACTGTACAGGTATAAAAGTTGACACAAATATGCAATCGTGATCTTTATTTGATTTAAAACTGATTTTTAGTGATTTTGTTTTGGTGTGATTTTACTGTGATTTACTTAGTTTTCATCCATGACAATTTTTTTCCGATAACTCTTGAACTTTTGCAGAGAGCAAGAATAAATACTTTTGTTATTTATATAAACTTTGTGATGCACGATCCAGTATTACCAACTTTAATCAACAAAATGATCACCTATAATTTTTGCCTTGGTGCCCTCTGATTTTTAGGCCTCACCGTGGCAACTTTTGCCTGCCCTCCTGAACACCTAATTCAAGCCCTGATAATGAAAGGATTATAATACCTGTTCTTTTCCCAAATTCTTCCTTGATTTCATCTTTGGACTTGTTTTTTGGGATGTTGCCAACAAACAACCTCACATTGGCAATGGACACATTGACTTTCAGCTGTTTTCCAGGTCTTATCTCATAATTGTGCAGCTGAGGATGAAAAGGGAAAAAAAAACCACTAAAACTTTGGGCAAGTTTAGTAATACACAATTCAAATTTGAAACAATTAATCATTGCAAAGCTCGAGTACAATTTGCCTCTCTCAAGAAAGCTAATGCAACATAACAACAACACAAAACCAATGCTTAAACGTGAAAGATACATCTTAAACTAGACCACATTAAGTCTACCAATACCGCATCAGTCAAAGTTCTATTTCAACTGCCCACCATTGCTGCAGGCCCTGTGGTTTCTCAGTTCACAGATATAATGGTGAATATGTCAAGAATATGTGTTAGTGACTTTAAAATACACATTGAAATGGTGGTTACACAGGGGGTCGGTAATGACAAATACGGCAGGTTGACTGTGAGTTAACTTACTCACAAATATTTTACAAATTTTTCTAGCACCCAAAATAATCTTTGACCTAAATCTTGCAACATCAAAATGCAGAATTCTCTCACAAATCACCAGTTCATAGCTTTAAAAATGTAGTAATGACAATGTAAAATTAAATTTTCATCAAATTTGCTTTAAAATGGAAAATAGAGTAAATTCTAAGAACTATGGTTTTTTAATTTTAAAAATCCATTGATAAATTTTTTTAAAAGTTATTGGGGGTTTTGTTTGCTTTTGGGGGACCTTCATATAGGCAAATATCGCCAAAATGTGGGACGTGTCTTGATGTATTTTGAGGAAAAACTGTTCATAATTCAGTAATGAATTGGGAGTATATGAATGAAACTTGGCATCTTCATGTGATTTTTAGTGCAGAATCTAGTTCTGTTATCATTTTTTCAATGTCTTTATTACTTTGGATCTTAAAGACTGATATTTGCATGAAATTTGTTGAATTGCATGACATCGTTTTTACCGCGACGCGATCACCCCTTCTAAAACTCAGTACAGCGGTATCAGGAAAACCTGCGATGAATTGATCGGTGACCTATTTAGTTATAAGCAGCCAATCACATGCCGCCTAGCAATCATGCGCCTCTTGCATGCCGGCACCTCGCGTTCGGAATGCGTGGTCTAGTTTCCAGCTCTAGTGTCTTATCAACGGATGGGTGGTATTTTACGTTGGTACATAGAATCTACTACACGCAGAGATCTGAAATTTTACAGCAAATAAAGATGACATGTGGGGCGCCCGTCTGGTCGGCGACCAACCCGCAACTCCGCTTAGTTTTCGAACCGCAGAGGAAATTCGCACAAACACACAATTTCTCCGGTTCTAGAAATCATTCGGGATTGTACGCTGGCATGTCGTTAGTTTAACCTTTCCTCTGATTGGTTGCGGAGTTTCATTTATTTTCGTCAATGAGTTTTCCTGTAACTATACTTAGAAGAGAGTCATTTCTGATTCCGAGCCGCCCAAAAATTACCCCTCGCGCGGAGGCCGATTTCCGGCCCAAGAAGCAGCGGGCGATTGGCATTGCTAAAAAAGTAAGGTCATATTTCTTATTAAAACGCATAAAACATCCTTAGAATATCGCAAAATGTCTTAACCCATCAAGAGGCAATTAATTTGCATTGTCCAGTCCCCCAGAGGCCACTTAATTTGAGAACTTCATGCAAATGAAGGTAGGTCATGAAAAATGCTCAGTTTCCTCATTTTTTTAAGATAGAAATTTTGAAGCAAATGAAATTGCATTGAAAAGCAGTCTTTCCTCTTGAATCGTTGCTATCCCGTTAAAATGCATTGAACAGGTTGCAAACACTCATATTTGCAGCAATTTCAAATTCGATTACTGCCACAGTGAATGGTGTAAACAAAATTACAAGACTTCGTTTTCTATTCCAATTCTAGGGTTAGATCTTGTTTGGGGAGGGAAATGCCAGGAAAATCTTCCTTGAAAAAAGTTTAACTTGGTTTCACAGTGGCTCCGTACATAAAATCAGGTCTCGTGGCCCGTGTTCACAATCGCAACTAATAACCCCTGAGGGACAATCGTAGCATCATGATGGGTTATGGCAACAGTAAGCATTTCCTTCGCTCTCAACAAACCTGATTTACTGCCTCTGAAGCTGCCTCTCTCTCACAAAAAGTGATGAATCCATACCCACGAGTCAGTCCTGTCATGGGGTCCATCATCAACCTCATATCCCAAATTTTTCCACACTTCTCAAACAATGGGATAAGCTCATCTTCAAACACATCTTTGGGAATCTTCCCGCAGAAAATCTGTGGCACAAGAGAGAGTAATAACATATGTCATGAATTAATGCCAATGGCCATCATGGCTGACCCGTTAACTAGAAGAAAAAAAGTAACTTGTTCCAATTAGTCTACAGGAAAAACAGGCATCATCGCATATTACAGCTTGTGAAGATATTAATTCTTAAACCTTGCAGACTTTCAAAACTTTATTTCTATTCCACTGTTGGTTTAGTTCGGTTAAATTTCCCAATTTAAGTTATATGGCTCTTCATACTTATTTATTATTTAGGAGGCATTGCGCTGCAAAGAGCGAAATGCTTGCAGCTAAAGGGAGTTGAAAACAACAACAACATTTATTATTTATTTTCAATTCATACAAAAAGACACTAACATAATCATTACAATTCAAAGTGCATACTATAAATAAACTATTTATCACTTTTTTTTGTTCTTGGTAAATGAAACTTAATTTTTTAAAAACCAAGAAAACAACAAATTACAGAATAAAGATGAACAAATATGTTAAAAGAAAAGATGATGTGCACTTACACTGCACTTTGTCGTAAGGTGCCAAAAAGAAAAATGTGTTAACTATAGAGCCACACACAGTACCAAGAGTGCCTGACAATACTCACCTCATGTCCAGAGCCTGGAGGGGTGGGGTCACCGCCTGGTGGGGGTCCTCCGTACTTCCTTTGGCCTGTAGTCACATCAAGTGAGTAGCCAGTGCGATCCAAGATTTCCTGAAGTGAATATAATACAAACATTAGGTCTAACAAAAAAACTCATGTAGACGTACACAAACATCCCTTGTAGCACTGAAAGCACATCTCTAGACACAATGAATTCATGAAAGCAAATGCCTGGATGACTAATTGCACCAGGAACAATTTTTTACGATAAAAAGCAGACTTGGTAGCACCATGACAAAGCAGGATTGAACTTCCTTTTCAAGTTGGATCCTGCCAAGTCAGCACAATGACATGCGTATTTTGATAATCCTATCAAGATAACTGGTAAACTACACGACTGTGTACTACAGAATATCGAAAAAGCACCAACCAAACTATTTACGTATATATCAAAAAAGGTAAAAAGTAAAAAATAAGCAAGAACTATGCCAACATTTACCTTCAGCTTTGCATCATCTGGACCCTTCACCAATGGTGGCATATTTCCAGCTCTCAGTTTGTGCCTGTACGTCTTCATCTGCCCGCACAAAAAGGCACTTTTATTGCCAACATGCTCCAAGTTACTTTCGCAAAATTGTTTCAGCACTTTGATTGCATCATCAGGAGCAAATTCCTTCAGAGCATCCATGGCACGATCGTCCAAGTCGGACTGGGATAGTTTTTCTGTGGAAAGGAAGCAAGTTTTTTGTTTTAGTAAAGGTTTTACAGCACTCGCAACTGCATAAATTCATATGAGCGCCAGAAGGCGTTACAGGACAGTAACAAACATAAAAAAGAAGAATGGGAGATAATGACGATAGATGTTTCATAGAAAAGAAGAAGCAAACCACACCAGAGCATCCGCCAACCACCCACAGAGCAAGTTTGAACACATTGAAACAACACTTTTCAGTATTCATTTGACCCAGAAGTCTATAAGTTTCTTGATTAAATGCGCATTAAAACAAGATTATACCAAACCAGAAAGCAGTTAATATTCCATGGCAAGTACTGAGTAGCAATGCCCACCGAGCGCGTATTGTTCTGCCGATTTTTGGCCCCCGCCGCGGGGGTGTTTGTGGGACGCACTAACGCAAAGGTTGTCGTCTTCAACTTGCTCTAACGCCGCTTCTCGAGAATAGATATGAATGAAACTTGGCAGCCAATCAGAAAAGAGGTCAATCTCATAGTGTGAAGTTTGACAACTTTGTACCCATCCAAGAAGTAGTCGAAAACATTTCCGAAAGTGGTTGATGTGGTGCGCTTTGAAGACTTCGTAGCTGTGGTTTGTCAAACTGACTGATACGTTGTACACCATTTTTCTTTATTCCCTCAAAATTTCATGCTTCTGTGTTTAGCGGTTTTTGCGTAATCTTTAAAAATGTGGGAGTAACTAAGGTAAAAAGCGACATTGCCATTTGCGGCGGCTGGGAAATTTCCACTGAGTGACATCAGCCATCGGTCGCTACAAACGAGGCCCCGCTTATGTGAACCGGAAAGGGGGGAAGGATGCTTGAAAACTAAACGGGAGCCTTGATAACTTGCACTTTTGTTGCATTTTAATCACAATACAATAGATGTAGTCATTTTTATTTGCTTGATTGCATGACAGAAGAATAGAAACAGAAAAGCAAACATCTTGAGAAGTGGTATGTCATTGTGTTTGCGTTATGAAAGCCTATTCCCCCCTCTTGGGAAAACACACACTTGGACTCGTCCTGTGTGCTCTGTTCGGAAAAGTGAGGCATTAAGATTGTTATTAAAGAGTATGGTACTTATTTAGTCCAGTCTGGGAAGATAGTCCTGTTTATACATATTGAAATCGTGCATGCGTGCACGTGAGTGAGTGAGTGAGTGAGTGAGAGTGAGAGTGAGAGAGAGTGAGAGAGAGAGAGAGAGAGAGAGAGCTCTAGTGGTCTAGAGGTTAAAGACTGTTGGCCTCTCATTCAAAGGTCCCGGGTTGCGACCGAAAAATGTTCTCTAGAATTGTCTCCTTTTACCTCCTTTCCTGCTCTCTGGCAATATTCTTTCGTCAGCTTTCGTCTCCTCTTTCTGCCCCCACCCCCTTTGCCCCCTCCTCTGGGCTCCTGACTCTTTCTGCAGCCTTTTTACTGCTACTCCTTGACTCCTTCTTACAGCTGTCTTTCTGCCACACCCCTGATCTTCTGGCAGGAAAGATCTACACCTAGCGTTCTCGGACAAAGGCGAAAAATCTCGGAGGGCCCGAGTGCAAGTTGCGCACGTTAAAGATCCCTTGGTGGTCTAAAATCGATAAGAGTAGGCTTCGGCCGCCACCCGGGCAAAATTCAAAATTTCCTACCAACTAAAAGTATTAGGTGTGTCCCGCGCGCTCATACGACCTTATGCAGTTGTGAGCGCCATAAGACACTTACCAAAAACAAAACAAAAAAAGAGAGAGAGTGTGTATGTGTGTGTGTAAATATTAATATGTTACAATTATAGTAAGTTGTGGCCTACACATGCAAAATATTCCCATGACTTGTAAACTATATTATCTAAACGCATCTTAATCTACCACACAATAGGACATTGACCAACAATGGATATACACAGAGACGATCTTATTTTCTATTACAAAGTATGCATGCTTTTACTAGAAGAGAACTGGATTTATTAGACTAATAAATCCAGTTCTCTACTTACATTTTTGTGACAAATTGATCCAGAGCATTGCTTAGCAATGACAATGAAAAATTAAATTTTCATCCGAATTGCTTAAAAATGGGCTTAAATGAAACTAGAGTAAATTCTAAGAACTGTGGTTTTTAAATTTTAAAAATCCATTGATAAATAAAAAAGTTATTGGGATTTTTGTTTGCAAAATGTTGGAGGACCTTCAAAGAGGAAAAAATCGCCAAAATGTGGGACGTTTTGATGTATTTTGAGGAAAAACTGTTCATAATTCAGTAATGAATTGGAGCATATGAATGAAACTTGGCATCTCCATGTGATTTTTAGTGCCAAATCTAGTTCTGCTATCACTTTTCGTTGTCTTCATTACTTTGGATCTTAAAGACTGATATTTGCGTGAAATTTGTTGAATTGCGTGACATCGTTTTTACCGCGACGCGATCACCCCTTCTAAAACTCAGTAAAGCACTATCGGGAAAACCCGCGATGTAGTCATCGGAGACCCATTTGGTTATAGGCAGCCAATCACATGCCGCCTAGCGATCACGCGCCTCTTGCATGCCGGCACCTCGCGTTTGGAATGCGCGATTAAGTTTCTAGATCTAGTGTTTTATCAATGGGTGGGTGGTAATTTTAAGTTGGTACGGAAAATCTACTAAACGCAGAGATCTGAAATTTTACAGCAATAAAGAAGACATGTGGGGCGCTTGTGTGGTCGGCGATCAACCCGCTGCTCCGCTTAGTTTTCGAACCGCAGAGGAAATTCTCACAAACACGGCAATATCTCTGGTTCTAGTAATCGTTCGGGATTGTGCGCTGGCATGTCGTTAGTTTAACCTTTCCTCTGGTTGGTTGCCGAGTTTCATTTATTTTCGTCCAGGAGTTTTCCCGTAACTAAACTTAGAAGAGAGTCACTTCTGATTCCGAGCGGCCCAAAAAATACCCCTCGCGAGGAGGCCGATTTCCGGCACAAGGCGCAGCGGGCGATTGGCATTGCTAGCATTGCTTGGCAAGGAGGAACCTTTTATGTTGCCAAGTTTCATTCAAATATCATGACTTTGGGAGAAGATATGACTGATAATCTTTGTAAATCTGTAAAGAACGCCACTTTTTTACCTGTTACTGTTATTGTCTTTACAACTCAAAAAGTATGATAGATATTCAAAATCTGACAGCATGACTAGATTCTGCATTGAAAACTACTAGACTGCCAAGTTTCATTTACATACTCCAAGAAATAGGCGAGCTATGACAACTATTGTCTCAAAACGCACAGAAAACAGCCACATTTTTACCTATAAACGTCTTCATAACTCAAAAAGTAGGATAGCTATGAAAAATCTGAAAGCGGGACTAGATTCTGCACTAGAAAATGTACTGGGTTGCCAAGTTTCATTTAAATACTCCGAGAAATGAGCGAGTTATGACGAATATTGTCTCAAAACTCACCAAAGAACGTCACATATTTTGGGGGTTTTATATAAAAGTGCACCAAAAATTAATTGATTTAAAAATTCTTAACTTTTTTGTTTATTGATGGATTTCAAAAATTCAAAAAGTTCCATGCTTTGTGAAGATACAGCTACAAAATGCACCTATTTGCAAACACTTTATGACCAAAAAAAAAAAGGGGGTTTTCTTGGTCATTGCTATACTGAGTAAAGGCTTGGAACTACATTATAAGACTCCACAGCATCAAAACAGCTGTTTTCCAATTACAGATTTTCTAATTCCACCAAGTACGACAAGCCAATAATAACAGAAGACAAATTTTTTTTTTATGCAGGCCAATTAACACAAGTTTAACCTGTAAAAAATACTGAACTGTAAATGTTTTGGTTAAAAACCCTGAACTGCAGTCACAACTTCACTCTTAAAAAAGGGGCATACGTCTTCGCAGCCTTTGAGAAGTAGTACTGACCAGTTTTGTAAATGGCCAGAAGTTCTTTGGCAACAATTTTACTGATTCCATGATCTAAGAGGGTTTGAGCTTCAGTTTCCTCTTCTGCTGTCAACGTTTCCTGTTCTTTCATATCGACATCATCTCCGTTCTGAGTCATCTGAAAAGAAATGAAGCAAAATTAGGATCCAAATGCAACCTTAAACCATCAAGTCAAAGGACACTAGAAGTTTAAAACAACCTGCAGCATCACTACAACCCACTTCAGTTTTTGTTTAAAGGCACCAAACGCAAAGTGCAGCAACTGTTCGTTCAATTTTCTAATGAACTTTTCAAGTCGCACACCAGCTGCTTCTTCCTCATTTCAGCTCCTATTTTCGCCGTTTTCAATGACAACTCGGCACGCCAACGTCGATAGACACTGTGTTGCCCCACATAAAGAAACAATGTCACGAATGTGAAACTAGCGCTAGGGACAGAAGAACGAAAGTAGAAAGCTACGTGCGGACATGCGCTAGCGGCGTTTTCGCCTCTCTCCGGGTTCGGTGTTTTCCGCGTGTAAAAAAAGTGTCGCAATATGCGACGGAGAGCGGTCCAGCGGAGAAAGGAAGAAAGTAGAGCTGAAAAAGCTGGATGAAGCGGAGTTTCTGCTATTTAGCGGGAAAGTGGCAGCTATGTAAAGAGTGTCTTTTTAAGGTTGATTTTGTAGTTTCGTTCGTTAAAGGCCAAAGCTGAACGCCAGAGACCTTTAATTGCCAGATATTCGTTGAGGAGTGAACTAAACGCGAGGCTGGAAGGAAACAATAAAGCCAGAAAATCAAAATTCAAGCAAAGTGTGGCGCTTTTCCCGGCAGTTCCCATCCTTCCCAATTATTATTCGCTGGTTTGGGCCCCACGAGTTAAGATAAGGGGGGTCGCCCCCCCCCCCCAACCTAAAAAAAACTACGCTTTTTCGGTAGTTCACACCCCGCAATTGTTATTCGCCGGCTTTGGCCCCAAGAGTAGGGGGGGCAACCCCCCTGACCTAATAAAAAATATGGTGGGGGGTTTCAGGGAGCATGCCCCCCTGAATTTTACCACAATATAATGTTTTGCAGTTGTTAGGTTTGATATCTTAGCTTGCCGCGCAATGAATGCCCCCCTGAATTTTACCACAATATGTTTTGCAGTTGTTAGGTTTGATATCTTAGCTTGCCGCGCATCAGACGTATTGTACATCTAGACTCTAGGTCAGGCTCAAATAAGGGTGGTGGGAACTACCAAAAAAGCACAAAAAACATGGTAGGGGGGTATTTTGCTATAATTTGAGGTTCTGCAGTTAGGTTGCATCCCTGTTGTTTGTGTTGCCAGTTAGGTCAATACTTCGGATTTCTTCTCTGGATGTAAACAAGTAGATCGAGGACTTCCAACGAACGGAACTACAAGATCACCTTTTTCTAGATCTAGATCTAGGCTAGAGATCTAGACTATTTCAGTGGACTGTAAACAATGTCCCAGAAAATTGCCAATAAAAAAACATGGTAGGACTTCCGTAACGAGCGACTAATTCCCGACTCAGATCTTCAAATCGTTGAACAGGGCCTAAAACTGCGCAAACGACCGCAATTTTTCCATGTCCAGGTAGTATAACAGTGGCTTTCGGTCTCCCACAAGTATTGTGGAGCTCAACAAGTACAATCTTGAATAAATAGTGGTCGCTCGTTACAAAAGTCCTCCCACAAAGCCGACCCCCCCCCCCCCCATTGATATGAAGTATGATATACGGTGGTCCACCTACCCTCAACCACCACCTCTCGCTCACCTCACCTCGCAGCTGGCTTGCGCTGTGCGCGAAGGTCACCCGCGGAACTACCTTTTGTCAGCACGTAGAGAACTATGATGAGTGCGTAGTAGTTAGGCTAGGCGCGTGTTGTAATCACGGGCCGAGACAGGTGGTCCGGTAAGTTCAATCCAGCCAAGCGGAGCCCTGCACCTTATGCGCACACACACACATCAGGCCACTCCATTCGCTTATTATCAACAAATCTCGAGAGGAAAGCGTTCGGACAAGTTTATTTTCCCGAAGGCGTCGTTATTCGGACTCGAGTCCGAATAATATTTTTTCATATTCGGACTCGAGTCCGAATAAAAAAAATTCATATTCGGGCTCGAGTCCGAATATGAATTTTTTTTATTAGGACTCGGGTCCGGAAAAAAGGAAGTGTCTCCGTTCTATAGATCTAACTTCGGGGCTTCCAATTTTCCGCCATTTTTTAGTTTCCCCGACACCTTTTCTGCTGATCCGATGCCCACCGCCCACCCCATGTTTCCCACTTTCTTTGTTGTAGAAAAAGGTAAAATTGAAGATTAGCAGACCACCTGGCACATGCATATTATGAGCTGTGTAAAAACTCACTCCGGGTGAGAATAGAGGTGGCCAAAAAAAAAAGACCAATTCGTTCAAATACACAAGCCTGTGTCATCTCGATTGTTTACCAAGAAAAAGTTGTGTTGCTGTGTAGAGCTGAGCATACGGCAACTTTTGATTCCATAGACCAGCACACGATTCATTACGCAGATCTAAGTCAAGATTACCTTATTATTGTAATAATGATCAGTTACCTGGGGGGAAAAGACTTGATGCGTATGCGAGGTTCAACGCCCGGACCGATAGTGCCCCCCCACCCATACACGCACACAGCCACACGTGTGCAGGCCGCCCATCCGACCCCGACACATGCTAACGAGCCATCTTTATTAATTGCTTCTGATGACCTCTTCACAAATAAACATTTATTAGAAGCGCTATAACTTTTCAGGCCAGCCTCAAATTCATCATAAGATAAAAACTTGGCTCCTGCACAAAACGCCTTTTTGCCCGAAGTAATCCCGGTCTCTACCCAGCCTGAGGCGAGTCACGAGTGAGGCAGGACAGGAAGCCAGAGTCACGAGTCACAGGAAGACAGAAGTGATGTCATGCTGGACAAGAATCAGAGTCCGAATAACATTTTTTCATATTCGGACTCGAGTCCGAATAGTCACTCGAAGAAATAAGAGTCGGCCAATAGGCCTAATAATAAGGGGTAGGAACTGCCAAAAATGGGTCATTCTTTGATTTTCTCCTGTGAACCATTACCTGGCTATTCAGGGTCTCTGGCGTTCAGCTTTACTTTTCTGGACGAACGAAACTACAAAATCGCTGCTCCACCTCCACCAATTTTCTACCTCACTCAGAGGATACATTTGTCATGACATAGAATCTACGTCAAGAATCATTGTTAGCTTTTTTTATGCCCATCCACCAACGGTCGTCGGTCAGCCTGGGCAAACACGTCATAGTCATGGTATGGCAAATCATAAATGAGTGGAAGCCAACACCCCAACAAACACCAAACCCGGATCTGTTTTGTCAATGAGCTTATAAAGAAAAGTAAAATAACATCGACCCACCAACCTAAATCTATCAGCACTCAACTTGGTTATAATGGGAATAAAATTTTCCAGCTTAGAAGGACTGATGATACTGCAATCTATGTTACAGATCGAGAGAAGCAGTGAGAGAGTTGGGCGTGCAATCTGCACAAAATGGCGACGCAAGCGGCCACCGGGCGTGCACCCGACATGCCGGGTTTTCGATTTAGTTTAAACTGCATTTCATAATAATGACATCATTGCCCGACACTTAATTTATTAACTAGAATCAAACAAAATGTTGGCACTGACCTTTAGTCCAAAAAGAACCTAGTTTTCTTTTAGATATTTTGGCCTAATACTCTTCTCTAGATGGGACTTCTTTTCACGACGATAAATCCTAAGGAAGAGACCACGTGACGTACGGGGTTTACAAACATCGATCACGGGAGTTCACGAATTACCGAAATTTCCCGCAACACATTTCGCACTGTTGGCCGAGGCGAGGAGGCAAGGCCTTCTCAAGTTCTCTCTTGATCTAGATCTAGTTCTGGACTGGCCGACAACGAACCTTACTTAATATAGCCTATCTAAATTCAATTCATTTTTGTTGTTGCTGCTTTTTTGTGCGAGTTCATCCGCTCTTGTAACAAAGGATCAAGATCCCATCAGTGACAGAGTGTCAACATAAAAATGAATTGCGTTCGCATTTTACCATGAAATAGGCCTACAGACCGTGGCACTCTTATTAGTGGGATAGCTTTGGTTCTTCACTTGTAACGATACAAGAGACATCTTTCTCATATTCTACATGTACATGTTTAGATCTCAACGAAAATTAATTTCACACACACACGCGCGCGCGCGCGTGCGCGCAAATATAGATCCACACGTATTTAAATATAGATATATCGCTCTTCAGATGGAGTGCATGCTCATAACTGTGCCTGAACTGCATGAATTGCGTTCATGGGGAACAGCTGCGTTTTCTTTCCTAATCGTAATTATTAGATCTACCGTCATTTTCCTCTACTTCTTTAGTATGTTTGTCACTCTCTTCAATTTGTGACCCGAAGCAAGAGGAGTGAGCAGAGTAAGCCTGGTTCCCTGTAAGGACTTCTCTGTAAACCCTATTGACATCCACCCGAAGCGCATCCACTTCGTCCACTCATCCATCCACCTCATATGGCGCTCGTATGACCTCTGGTCACTGGTCACACTGCGAGCAGAGCGTGCACAACAGAGCGGGGCTGTTTGGGGCGTTAAAATTGGGTGGCCACACTGCAAGCAGAGCGGAGCGGGCGGTGCAATGTTACGTCATGTGGGATAATATATTTTCAAGTCAGTTTCAGTTGCCCATGGATAGGAAATGATTGACGTTATTTGTCCTGGTCGATGAGGAGACTCAACAGAAAAAAGCAAGAAAGTACACAAATGGGTGCACCCGAACACCTGACTGCACATTCTTCCTCTGATATCTGAATAAAAAGAGGGTACGGTACAGTGAAAAAAGGATCGGAATAATACGAAGGAGAGGCATCTAATTTCTTTTTTAAATTTCTTATTAATTTTCTCTCATGCTTTATTCTGTTGTGGTGAAAGGGAAATAGGAACATAATAATAACCATAGAATCCTCAGCGTGTTTAAAAGCAAATCAACGATACTATCTTGGTTTTGTAATATACAGAGAGTTTTAAACACACGTACATACGCACACGCACGGACACAAATGTACACTGATACACTCATATAACATAATATTATGTTATACACAACAAACAACCTGTGTCTGTGGTGTAGCGGAGGCACTTCGTTGTCTCATGTAGAAGACCCGTGTTCGATTCCAGAGTAAGAAAGAATTTTCATTAAGTATTTCGGTTTTTTTCTGCTTAGACGTTGTGTCACTCTCAGCCTGTGTTGTGTGTGTGTGTGTGTGTGT